AAAAAAAAAAAAGAAAGTACTCTAGGGCGGTTTATTCTAGACACAAAGAAAATCTGTCACATATTACAATACATAGCAAATCAAAAGAATATTCCTATGTCAGTGAGCAATTCCTTTTCAAGGGACAAAGGAACAACACTAAAAGAACCAGTAGAAAACATTCCCATTAATTGTCCTCCAACATCATCACAAAGACTACATGCACACACTCACCTTGGGTCCATCAACGACGGGCTGCAGAAGGACAGAAACCCTTCCTGTGGGATTTCTTTTCCTCATTGCAAGTCAAACAGTATTCCAAGTCTATGTTGGCAGCATTTTCAGAGAAATGTGATGGCCATGACTAGTCATTTTTTCTCTGGATCATGAATATTACTCCAAATGTATTTAGACTCAGAGGCAAAAACCTCCTAACATAGAGAAGCAAGGTATTGAAAGGAAAGTTGACAACAAGAAGAGACAGGAAACTATTTCCCAGGAATCATTTTTGGATGTATGCAATGTCGAAATGATTCCATCAAACGGCCCATGGGCTGCGAGACCTTTCTTTGACTAAATTCCTCCTGAAACTGAATTGCTTATCCAAAAAAAGAGGTTAAAAAAAAATGAAATCCAAATGACACCTCACATGCAAATGGGCAGAGAGCCCATTGCCACCATCACCTTAGAGTCAGGAAAGGTTTCACTAAACACACAGTTCACAGAAATAAATTTCCCTATGATTATTTTTATGGTTCCTAGGAACTAGCCTCCTGTCTCTTCTGTTATCAATTTTCCTTTCAACATCTTGCTCCTCTAAGTTAGGAGGATTTTGTCTCTGAGTCTGAATACAGCTGAAGTAATATGATCCAGAGAAAGAAATGACTCCATGTGAGTGATATGTTTTTTTCCCATCCTGTGACCTTCAGTCTTTGCCTATTAGGTGAATCTCTTGGAGACAGCATATTGTTGTGTCTTGTTTTTAATCCAATCTGCCAGTCTGTGATTGATGAGCTTAGGCCATTAATGTTCAATGTTATTATTGAGATATGATTTGTATTCCCAGTCATTTTGGATTACTTCTAGTTTTTAATTTGACTTACTTTCTTCTTTGATTGACTATTCCTTTAGTATTGTTCCTCCCTTTGCTGGTTTTCACTTTTTTTTTTTTCATTTCGTCTTCATGGAGTGTTTTGTTGAGAATATTATGAACTTCAGGTTCTCTGGTTGAAAATTCTCTTAATTTTTGTTTATCATGGAAAGTTTTTATTTCATCTTCAAATCTGAAGCTTAATTTTGCTGGATATAGGATTCTTGGTTGGTATCTATTTTCTTTCAGAGCGTGGTATATGTTATTCCAGGACCTCCTAGATTTGAGGGTCTGGATTGAGAAATCAGCTGAGATCTGTAATGGTTTCCACCTATCTGTAATCTGATATATTTTTTTCCTTACAGCCTTTAAAATTCTATACTTACTCTGGATGCTAGGCATTCTCATTATACTGTGCCTTGATGTGAGTCTGTTGTAATTTTGCACATTTGGGGTCCTGTAAGCCTCTTATATTTGATATTATATTTTATTCTTTAGATTTGGGAAATTTTCTGGTATTATTTCATTGAAAAGATTGTGCATTTCTTTGATTTATATCTCTATGCCTTCACCTATCCTGATAGATCTTAAATTTGGTCCTTTCATGTTATCCCATAATTCTTGGAAGTTCTTTTCATTGTTTCTTAACATCTTCTCTCTGTGGTCAACTCTATGTTCAAGATTATATATTTTGTCTTCATTGCCTGAGGTTCTGTCTTCCAAGTTGCCTAGTCTATAAGTGATGATTTCTATTGAATATTTAATTTGTTTCCTTCATTTCAAGGATTTCTGTTTGTTTTTTTTTTCACACTCTCTCTTTATTGAACTGATCTTTTGCTCTCTGTGTTTGCTCTCTTACATCATCCTTTACTTTGCAGATCAGTTGAAACCATGTACATTCTAAACTCCTACTCTGACATTTCTTCCACTGTGGTGTCAATGGATTCTGTTATTGGAGTTTCTTCGTTTTCTTGGGATGATTTGTTCCCTTGCTTTTTCATGTTGTTTGTATGTCTACCCATCTAACAGTATGGATCTGAGGCAGTAGAGTTTTTACCCTGTGGACTTATAGTATCCCTGAAGCTTTCCAGTATCTCACTGTTTAGGGGGAGATAAGTAATAACAACAACCAATGCAAATAATTTACAGCATTAAACCAAACAGTTTCTGCTATGATGTCTACAATGTTAATTATCACAATAAACAGAAATAATATGATCAGTTATTGCCCATAATAAAACAGCAAGTTTGCAAAAGGGTTTACATTTTCAAATAATAGACAAAGAGAAAACAGAAGTGATATAGTATGTGATGATTATGAAGGAGGAAGAGAGAAGACAGAAGTCAATATTAAAGGAAGAGTGAAAGAGAAAAATAGAGATTGGCTGTTAGCAGAAGAAAAGAGAGAATCAAGCAAAACAGTAGGAGAAAATTTTTTTTATAGTCAAAAATCCTAGTTCACAAAAACTAATCCATGTAAAATAAGTGGCCTCAAAAATGCTATAAATGAGAAGTAGAAAAAAAATTGAAACTGTATAAATGTTCATGTGCCATTAAGGTCACAATTAAACAGTAAAAATGAACTAGGGAAAAAACTTTTTTGATGAAAAGTTATAGAATTCTTTCCGTTGGAGTTAAAAATATTCTCAGCTTCTCTTCTCAGCAGTTTTAGGTGAGGTCTTCTGGACTGTGATGCTCTAACCCACTGTATTGTTAGAGTGGGAGGGGTAATCCTGTAGGGGGAGTTCTAAAACATATATGTTAAAATATTGATTCTTCAGCCCTCAGGCTGTTCAGTTGGCCCTATGACAGCCTGCCACACAGGTCTACTCAAGTGTATATCCCAATGTACTATACAAATAATAGTCATCAGAATGTTTGCCATGATGTGGAAAGTTTAGGAAGCACTGCACTAGAATATCAACGACCAGAGGACAGGAAAATGCTTAATATGTTGCTAACAACATGTGTATCAGATAACACTTGGGAAAGCAGAAAAATGCTATGGTGATCATCTGGCATATTTGGGCACTTCCTTCATGCCAGGTGGCAAGATCTGTTCAATAGCTGCTAAATGACTTCCCTCCACAGCAACAGTGTTTAACCATATGAGGCTTCTTACTGGTTAATAATGACTTGACACACAAGCCAGGCCTGAAAATTTAGGAAAGCTTCCTTCTGCAAGACATCTCTCTTTGGACATCATCACATGTGTGTTCCATCTGCCTTAATTAAACATTGAAGCCTCCATCTGTCTTTTCCAGTTCTATCTTGTTCACTCAAGATAGAACTTACTTACCGAGTAGCTACTGCAGATCAGGTGCTCTCGGGTTATTTTAAGTTGTAAAATATTTTATACAAATATTTTCTAAATGCCATAATATATGTGTGTCTTTTATGAAAATCTTTTATAATTTCAGCTCAAATCGAAAAAAATACTAGAAAATCACTGGAGTCAATTGGTTTCTTAGAAGATGATGTAAACAAGAGGTAATTCACTTTAAAAATTTTAACATTCTATTCAGTTTAGTGATGTTTCTAGTAGGATATGAGTTTTTCCTTTTATTTTATAATTGATCACAATGAATTTATTCTAGCTAATTTTCAACATTTAGTTCCATATAGTGCCATCCAGTGAATGGTCCAAGGCTACTCAGCTCATAGGCATTACATCCAGACTTGGAGCAAAGTTAGCTGGTGAGGAAGCCCTGAAAAAAAAATGAGCAGAAGGAACAGAGTTATGTTTTTGTAGTAGAGAGATGAATTTAATTACACTATAACATGGATGTGAAAAAAGTAGCTTCTTTATTTTTTTCCATCAAGTTCTGATCTTTCTCAGGAGCCTCTAAACCTCTGTAATTTTAAAAAGTCCTATTAATCCAATGTATTTAAACTCTGTTTAGAGCAATAATGAAGAGTCTCTTGAGGTTTAACTCATTCTTCTGTTTCTTTCCAAGATAATATCTGAGGAGTATACAGGTGAGGGGCTCAATGAATTCTGAGAATGAGGAAAATGTACCTGTGCTGCTATCAGAATTGGCAACCCCAGGATTCATGAAACCCATGGCGTGTTCTCTCTAAGCTTGGCTATGGCCCATTCTTGATTCTCACTGGTGTGGAAGGCCCTCTGAGTCTCTGTCATGCCCTCCAGGCTGGTTCTCTTTCCACGAGGCTATCTATACTTCACCTTTGTCAAACCTTTGCTGCAGGTCACCTCCATCCTGCAATAATAAGCCCTTGTGACTAGCCTAAAATCACTATCCACATCCTGAGTGAACAAAGGAAGACCTGGAATCCTCTTTATGCTTATTTCATCCTCCTAACAAAACTTAAGTCACCTTATGTTGACATGAATCTACCCTGCAAAGCTTCTCTCACACTCTCACTAAAGGGTGTGGCTAAGAATTCTCTACTTGTATGCTCTCCTCAACCTACATAATACATTCCGTTCCCACCTCAAAGTCCCACAAAAGACTGTCTTGCTGCCACCTCTGCTTTGCTGTTTTCTCCTACAAACCAGACTGATGATCTTATCTGGTTGAAAGTCTATGGAACAGGAATTGGAGATGTCGTCAGTGATTTGTATAGGGATAAGCAGAGGCAGACAAGAACTGAAAACCTGAAATCAATGCAATAAACCATTCCTTGAACTTGTGTTCATTTTCAGAAGGAAGTATCCTCCACCAACGAATGATTTCAGTACAAAAGAAAAGAAGCCAATCACAAGTGATCCATTGAGTGACCACTGTTCAGTAAGAAAGAACACCTTGCTCCCCTTGTGTTTTGAGGATGAACTGAAAAATCCAAATGCCAAAATAATGGACATTAGTCCAGCAAAGACAGAAACTTCTCAAGTGGTAATATCTACTATTATTTAATAAATACTAATACTATGAACTTCAGAGAAATCTAAAAAGATAACCTGTCATAAAAGTTATCTAGTCAGGAATCATTCAAGTATAGCTCTAGACTGCTCCACTGGGGCCCTTGCCATTGTACAGATCAGTTCACAACTGATGCTGAAGGGATTACACTTTCTAAGGCCTTTGCTCTTGATGCCTCTCAAAGCTAGATATGGCCTCTACCACCCTCACTAGAATAGTTTCCACAGTCTGCAATTTTTCACACTGCCTCCTTTTTCTGAACTGAAGACTCTCCTAGGTATATCTGATTGGCAGAGCCTATATCAAATGCCTGTGCTCAAGCCCCAGAAAGGCTGCCTAAAATAGTTTCTGCCTCACCTAAGGACACATAGACCTGTAAGGTAGGAAATTCCCTAAGGTGTTGGGCAGACCAAAAATATAAGAGACTTTCACTACTGTGGCTAAATAGGAAAACTTGTGATCACAAAACTAAATATTTTTTCTAGTAATCATAGACATCAATGTATCTTTCATACTAAAAGCACTCATAAAAGATGAATTTAATTTCACTTTTTTTGGGTGGGGGAGACCAGGAATTGAACTCAGGGACACTTAACTATTGAGCCATATTCCCAGCCCTATTTTTATATCTTATTTAGAGACAGGGTCTCACTGAGTTGCTTAGTGCCTTGCTTTTGCTGAGGCTGGCTCTGAACTCATGATCTTCCTGTCTTAGTCTCTTGAGACAGGCTTGAATTTAATTTCTTATTTTACTTAATTACAGCCTTAAAGAAAAAGTAACAATCATTGACTTACATTTGCCAAATAAATACTGATAATATATGTATTTGACCAATTTCTTTGGGGTTAAAACTTTTTACTTAGGACAAGACAGAGAATATGAACGCTAAAAAAGGAAATGAGGGGAAAATTTAAAATTGCAAATCATACAAACAGATTTCACCATTATTGTGGTAAAAAGTCTGTCTTTAAGTCAACCTATTATTTTGGCTATTTTATTCCACAAATATATGTTACATATTTTTTTGTATGCTAAGTATTATGCTAAGTATTGGTTTACAATAGATATAACCATTATCAGATAATTTTAAATTTTTTGAATTTGTACTAGAATAACCCGGTGTTTGTAATTTTGGTTTACAATCAGTTATGTCTCTTATGATTTTTTTTTACATAATCATTTTTTTGTATGCTTTTTAAATTACAGAAGATAGAAACTTAAAAAATACCATCCCAATGTTCTATCCTATATGAAAATTTTATTTTCATATTTAAAATATTTGTAGCTTTTTACCTCAATAGACTTATGACTAAGTATTCTTTCCTTTAATTCTCAGGAACAAAAGGACACAAATCCCATAATTTTCCATGATAAAAAATATATTCAAATGTTACTTTTCACAAAAAATGGACTTTCTGCCCATCTTTGGCAAAATGAAAAACTTTACCCTCATAAAAGAACAAATTTTGTTTTGGAAAGAAACTGTGCGATGCTCAAATCTTTTATTGGCAATGAAGTGATTACCTTTTCTGAACCCCAAAGAACTACACATATAACATTTGAAAAAGATAAACAAGCCACACCTTTGAGAGTGGACCAAAAAAGAGTGAAGAATACTTGTGATCAGCCATCAAAAGGCAGACTTTGGAGTAGAAGTTATACTATCTCACCGACTTTTTCCCATTTCACAAAAAAATGTGTGGGCTATCTTGATAAACCTGTTATTCGAGAAAAGAGTGATAAAACTCACAAATTTGAAAGAATGCTTTCAACAGTGAAGCTGGTGCACACACACAAATTCACTGCCTCACCTATTAAAGACTACTCAAAGCCTTCGAAAAAAATACTGGAAGTTCATAAAATAAGTGACGTAACACCGTTGGATGATTTGTTAAAGTTGTCAAAAGATGATTAAAGGCCTCCAAAGATGTCATCTGTACAGTAGTATTTTGGTAACAAGAAGCAAATAACCAAGTTTCAAGATGATAAAAGAAATCCAAATTGTAATATTCTAATGAATGGCTCAAGAAAGCAAGGCATAGAAACTGGAGTTACAAATCGACAGTGGTCCAATGGAGAAAAATCAACATTTTTTTTTAGTAAATAATAGGACACTGGGAAATAATTATCAATTAGAGGGACTAGTCCATGACTTTTTACTATCTCAATTAGATTGATCAGTCATTAGCATTCCTACAGTAAAGTCTGATTCAAGACCAAGAATGGCATGCACTAACCAGATATTTGCTGTTGGAAGCCAATAAGCTTGTTCTATAATTGAATATCAAATGAGACAAACATACCTTTACTTTATCACTGTGGAATTAATCATTATCAGCATTTTAGAGAACCATGGATAAATAGTATCACATTAACAATGTATACAATTAAAAGGGTTTTTGTAAAATTCTGAGTAACTTTTTTTGTTAGAGATATTGGAACTTCACTACTATATAGTGCTTTTTCCAAGTGTAAATTTGATTTTTAAAAAATGAATTGGTAAATAATTTAAAAGAACAACGTATTCTTAGTTGAAGTTAAATAATTTTGATAACGAAGCCTATAAAATATATTTTGACATTACATTTTATTTATTTCTCATTAACTTCTCATTATTATTATTTTTTTTAATATTTATTTTCCAGTTTTCGGTAGACACAACATCTTTGCTTGTATGTGGTGCTGAGCATGCCAGGCGAGCGAGCTACCGCTTGAGCCACATCCCCAGCCCTTAACTTCTCATTATATCAAACAATATAAAGGCAGAATTCATCTTAGAAACAAGTAGCGGGCTGGGGATGTGGCTCAAGTGATAGCCTGCTGGCCTGGCATGCATGAGGCACTGGGTTCGATTCTCAGCACCACATAAAAATAAAATAAAGATATTGTGTCCACCTAAAACTAAAATATATATATATATATATATATATATATATATATATATATATATATATATGTAAAGAAACAAGTTGCATTTCAAAAGTTCATTTGTAATCCATTTCTTTGGAATTCAGAATGTATTTTACATAAAAATAATCTTGGGGGACAGGGCAGTAGAGCACTTGCCTAGCATGTGCAAACACTTGGGTTCGACCCCCAACATGGAAAAAAAAAACAAAAACATGGGGAAAAAAAGTGATAAATTCCAAGGTTAACCCACAAAAGACTTTTAATTTATCATTTTATCCCAGAGAGTTTAAGTAAAAATGGTAAAAAGCAATAATTATATAATTCCAATAATTAAAAAGAGAAAGCTGAGTAAGAAAAGACTTTTAAAAATCTTCACTTTTAGTACTTGAGGAGAGAAGCTGGTTGGGTTAGAAGCACTTAGGGGAAGGTTTTGGGAGCCTTTGAGAATTTCCCGGGGGAAGAGGTCGCGGGCGTAGGAGGAGGTGGGGCGGAGCTGTCGCAGCCTCCTTTCTTCCTGTTACTGGCTGCGGAGGTGGGAAAGCGGCTGCAGCTCAGTCATGAGTCACTTTTCTTTTTCCCTCTGTTCTGTTCTAATTGTCATCCATTCTCCTCCTGACTTACCTCCTTTCGAGTCAGGACAAAGCAGAACAGTTTCCCAAGTCCCCTGCCGGGTCACAAACTCTTCGTAAGTAGCAACCATAAGAACAACAGTGAGGAGAACACATAGTTAATGGTACAAGGGATGATGGCAGTTTTTCCGAGAAGGCGACAGAGAGAAGTGTGAGTGAGCCTTGGGATAGGGCAGACAGGAGTGAATTTGGACAAACGAAATAAAATGATCATCAGTCTCAATTTATTTTATCTCCATCTTAAGATGGGGACAACAGTACTTTATTACAATCTGAGTATTTTCAGGATTAAATAATACATAGTATTTTGAGCATTGCAGCATTCAATAAAAATTCCCTTCCTTTTCCCCTTAGGCTGCTCTTAATGTAAGTATAACTTCTTAAAAGATATTCTCAGAAGTGTCCAATTTTTTTCTAAATGTTACACGTAATGATAGTATTCAGACTTTAGCCCACAGTGTTAGTTAAACTGTTCTGGAAGTTTCGGCCGGTGCTTCTGAGCTTCATCCTTTAAGAAAGTATTGCAGTAACTTAAAATTACATTTGACTGAGGATTCTTCATTAAAGCAACTTCATAACTGGGAGCAGGGGATTCTGAGAAGGTGGCAACCTAACTCTTCTACCTTTCTCTTCTACCTTCAGCTTAAATCTATCTTCTCTTCCGTAGCTGCTGGGGCTTTCAAGCAATGGGGTCAAGGTCAGACTTGGATTCTATTCTACAATGACATCTGAACAAGTCCTCAAAGGCCAATCTGAGTCACAGGCAGTGATGCAGATGGTATTGTACATTGCCTAGCTGGCCAGTTTGGATCTGTGGATCACCCCACTGGAAGGTTGCCTTGGATTCTGTGTAAGTGTTCTGGAGGCCAAAAAGAAACCACTAAACCCATGAAAAGCTGTCAGGGATCCATGAGTTTTCTCCCAGATGCCTCACTAGGGGACTGTGGTCTGCTTATTTCTGTTAAATAAGCAGGAGGCCATTAGCCTGAGGTTGTTTCCATGCTTTGAGTTCCTAACTAATGGCAGCCTAACTCAGTATATAAATAAACTGGAACCCAATTTAGGAATGTGACAAATAGCTGAGTTTCAGCCAATCACAAGAAGAGGGTTTCAGCAACACAGGCAGCCAACACATCACCCCATACCCAATAAGGCAAATGCCTCATCACACCAAGCCCAAATAGATGGCTAGTTGTAACTACTCATGTGATTTCTCTACTTTGCTTCTACATTCAGCCTATAAAAGCTCACTGCTCACACTGCTGGGCAGAGTTCTCTGAACATCTGGTTCTAAAGTGCTGCCTGATTCATCAATCATTCTTTCTTCAAACCGTGCTAAATCTATATTGTCTAAAGTTTTTCCTTTAACATTTCTATACCCCAGCCCACAGTAGGCAAGACATCTATCTTCTACCACGCACAAGTCTATGGTCACTAAGGTACTGCAACGGTCTCATAAAAGTGGGAGCATAGCTTTCCTAATATGAAAGGAAATGATAGGAACTCATCTGATTTACCATAAAATTAATAATTATGCATAGTAAGTAAGGAAAAATGAATAAAGAACACTTATTCCCTATCTCTCTAGTTTTCCTGTGTAGAGTCTTCCTTATAATAGCATCAATGATCTCCTACCTCACCCATTACTTCTCTTCCTTGAGGAGTGTGAAACCTGATTAGAGGTGGTAGCAGTCTGCCCAAGTTTCTTGATTGGATAAGACTCATCCATTAAAAGACTATAAGCAGAAGGGAATTGATTCTTTTCTCTTTTTGCTCTAATTCAAAAGGAACAGCAATCGTTGGTAAACGCGTGCATTCTGGAGACTCGCATGTACGTTGGATGAGCCATCTCACGATTGGTGATTGAGAAGCAGAACAGTCCTACTTGAGTCCATTTTTCTCTCAAACCTAAGCCATGCTGTCAAACAGCTTAAACTCTGTTATGATTGCCATCAACCTACCTGCTACATCTATCTCTCAGTTGCCTTCAAATTTGAGCGGGGAAGATAGGCATTCTTTTCTTAAGCCTCCTCAGACTCTCTGTTAGGGTTCTTCAGAGGAACAGAACTGATAAACTATATGTAGTTATAAGAGTGGATTTGTTGGATTCACTTACGTGATCAGAGGCTGAGTAGTCCCCCAATAGTCCTCTGCAGGCTGGAGAGCCAGGGAAACCCACTAGCAGCTCAGTCCAAGAAGCTGGGAGCCTCAGCACAAAATGGGCCAATAAGGCAGCCCCAGTCAGAATGATGGTCTGGAAAGCCCTTTGAAGAGATATTGGAGCAAATCTGCCACTGAGAAAAATCTGTATTCAAAGGCTAAAGAATCTAACTTTGATGTCCATGGAGGATGGCAGCAGGAAAAAAAAAAATGCACCCACTCAAGAAAGTTCAAGCTCAGTTGCATAATTGATCTTTCTTCTTCCACATTTTCATTCTGTCTGGACCTCCAACCTACTGGTCAATGCCACCTGCATATGGGGCCAGTTTTCCCCACTCAGTTTGATGACCCACATGCCAGTCTTCTCTGGAAACACCTCACAGATACACGCTGACAAATGTTTCACTACTTTTCTAGGTATTCCTCAAATTTAGTCAAGCTGACAACCAAAATTAGCCATCACAAATCCCAACACATTTCTTTCAATGTACTTTCTCTGATTCTATCACATAGCATTTAAGATTTAAAAAAATCAATCAATGCTGCCAGGACTGGGAAAGACTCATAGGGCAGATTTGTATTTTAGAACCTTTGGATTCTTTGCACCTGGCACAGGTACAAGCCCAGAATGAATGTGGATCGGGTGGCAAGGGAAAACTGCTACAGCAACTCAAACTGTTTGCAAGTCATCAATCTTGCCTTGCTTTCTGAGCCACACTCTCATGGAACTCAGATTCTAGTGCTCTGGCTCATCTTCACCCATTTCCATGCCTGCTCCAGCTTGGTTCAGTCTAAATCCCTACTTGTTCCTGCATGAGTAATGGACATTTAGCAAGTGTTATCTACTCACAAAGAACGCTTTCTACGAGAACATCACATAGTTAAATTTGATACGACATTTTACTATCCTTGTCAAATTATATGCAGCACATCTGTAAATTTTTCTTCCAGTTGAATTAAGTAATTGGTCCTTGGCATAAGCAAATCAAATCTATACCTGAGCATAATAAAATTTATTTAACTTTAGTTGGAGTGCACAGCCAGATAGTCACATCAAAAAAAATTTTTTTTGATAAGTTTGATCCAGCAAAATCTCTCAATTCCAGCACTTTTATTAATGTAACTGTCCTAGTTAACATTAGCACACCTGGCTTTACTATGAATATGGTAACAAGGCAATGGATTTCTCTTGACTTAACTCTTCCTTTTCCTTGTC